TATACATGTATCTGTTAACCTATACATGTATCTGTTAACGTACCCATTTCTTTGTACACACCAACGTTCATATCAGCATTACACTTCACTGTAAGCAGAAACATTTCTCTGTAAGCATGAACTCGTCTTTATTAGTATTACGTACACTGAAACGAACATCTGTAAGCCTGAACTTTCTTTTTGAAGAATTACACTTCAATGTAAGCACAATATTGTCTTTGTAAACACGAACTCTTCTTTTTAAGCATTACACTTCTGTATTCTGTATAAGCATATCACTCTTTTGTAAACATAAACACTTTGAAAGCATTACCACTTGTATAGACAGATAAACACTGCACTGTAAGTATTAACACTTCTCAAAGTGTCAAAGAATGCATAAACACTTCTGTACATCCGGGTACCTCTCAGAAACGCACAGGTCAAAGCTGCACGGCGAACAATGGCTCCATCACTTGGCATGCTGGCATGTGGCGACGCTGCGACTGGTATAAACCACAGATGGCCTATGACATGTCCTTCCCTGCAATCCAGAACCTTCACTACATCCGGGTCACATCGGGCTGCACGGGCGCATGTCTTGAGCTGTTAATGCTAGTCTTTACAACATGTCTGTCGCATCAACTGCCGTAAAATGTCAGACAATGTCGCGTTGGTATTGACTGAGATAATAGTTAAATCATTAAGTACTCGTTTCAACATTTCCACATAGACTTCACATTTATTGAATCACCATTGACGTTTGTTTGTTGTTTAGCGCCACACTCAGCAATATTCCAGCTATATGACGGCGTTCTGTAAATAATGGAGTCTGGACCAGATAATCCAGTGGTTGACATGAGCATCGATCCACGCAATTGGGATACGATGACATGTAAGTCGCCTCTTACGACAAGCATTGTTGCCTTTACGGTAAGTATATGTTGCTGAAGACCTGTTCTACCCTTTTACGTCACGGGTCACCACTGACGTTACCAAACCATTTCTGGTTTTGCATTATATCTCCAGTTGGGCAAGTGGGTAGCATAGTGGCCTAACACTTTGGTTCGTTTCCCCACATGGGTACAATGTTTAGTGTGTATTTATAATGTCTTCCGACGTGATATGGCTGGAATAAACCATACTTACAAACTTGGAAAATATTTAAATTAGATAGAATTTTAATATCAGTAGTACAGCGGAATCATTCATCATACTGCATAAGGGGGCACGGGTGGCCCAGTCGTCTAAGGCGCCGCGATTCGCTGTGCAGAGTTGCGTCCCTTGGGCACACCAGAAACCTATGATTGTGGGTTCGAGTCCCGGTTCACCCCGATTATGTTTCTAGGTTTGTCAGCACCATACCCGTGCTCGTGGGTTTCACCGAAGTGGTAAACGTCTGAAAACTGCACCACTTCGGGCTTTCCTTCCACATTAAGCTGACACGCCGCGATATAACTGGAATACTGTTAAAAGCGGCGTTAAACCCAACTCACTCACTCATTCTGCATTAAAACGGAAACGGTTAGCCCAGAGATCTCAGGATCCGGAATTCGTCGTATGTCCCGTAGACGCGCCAGGATCCGCCGATCGCGAGCTGGCAGTTTTCATCGAAATGGTAATCTACGACCTGTATCCCTTTGGCCTTTCATCTCAAGTAGACCGCCTCCGTGGTCTTGTGGTAGAGCGTCCGCCCGGAGAGCGGAAGGACCAGGGTTCGATCCCGGGCCGCGTCATACAAAAAGACGTCAAAAGATTGTACTTGTTGTTACCCTGTCTGGCGCTCGGCATTAAGGGGCTAAAACAAGGACTGGTCGGCTCGGAGTCAGTATACTGTGTCTGAGTGGGGTATTCATGTTAAACTGCGGCATGGTATCTCAGTGAGCTAGCACTATAAATCGGCATCAGTCCGGACTAGTACAAGCAGCCACACACACACATACACGTGCATGCACGTCGCTATATAAGTGCAATAATTTTGTACGCGACGTTAAACCCAATTTCACCTCACCTCACCTCATCTCAAGTATAACTGACACTCAATCACTCATTTCAGCGAGTTTTGATAGTTATATGGGTTGAGTGAGTGAGTTGGGTTTAACGCCGCTTTTAACAGTATTCCAGTTATATCGCGGCGTGTCAGCTTGATGTGGGAGGAAAGCCCGAAGGGATGCAGGTCTCAGACATTTACCACTTCGGTGAAACCCACGAGCACGGGTATTACATGGGTTGTCATCGAGCATTGAACCAGTGGTCGATAGTATGACCATCGATGTATGGCCTGTTTGATAACGTATAATCCTATATAGATGACGCCCCGTGAAGATCCCGGTTAGACTTGGTCTTCAGCTACCCACGCTTGTCGTAAGAGGCGACTAACGGGATCGGGTGGTCAAGCTCGTGACTTGAGTGGTACATGTCATTTAATCTCAGTTGCGTAAGTCGATGCTCATGATGTCAATCACTGGATTGTCTGGTCTAGATTAATATATTTACAGGCCGCCGTCATACAGCAGGAATATTGCTGATCATGGGACCCGTGAAGATTCCGGGGTAGAATAGGTCTTCAGCAACCCATGCTTGCCGTAAAAGGTGACTATGCTTGTCGTAAAAGGCCACTAACGGGATCGGGTGGTCAGGCTCGCTGACTTGGTTAATGCATGCCATCGTATCTCAATTGCGTGGGTCGATGCTCATGATATTAATCACTGGATTGTCTGGTCCAGACTCGATTATTTACAGACCGCCGCCATAAAGCTGGAATATTGCTGTGTGCGGCGTTAAACAACAAACAAACCAACCAATTGCTGATCATGGTGTCTCCAAGATATTTCTGGAACATTGCCATCATCTAACCTCAATCTCACTGGCCACGACAACACAGCATAATAAGTTGAATGTATGCCGTATCCATGTATCCATACCAATCAGCCATTGTGCTCATCCGATCCACATTTAGTCGTCTTGAGCACTTCCGAATGCGGCGGACACTCTCTACACGGGCACATCCAACGGAACGGACAAAAATATACACTTCGTCCCAACAAACTTCATCAACTGGAGTCCCTATGTCCACGGGCTTTTCGACTGTTTACGGTATCCCTTGCTATCGCTTGCATATCTGTTTCCCATTCAGTGCGGCTTTATTTCCCGATGGTGGGTGAAGGTCGTCTGGAGGACGCCGTCTGCTCCCACACAACACAATTTGGGAGGGATGCAGACTCCCATCTTATCAGACACACCTTATCCATAAATCTATCTCGGGCTTATCGCATACGCCGAGCCGATATCCTACGGATACCACGTGATTACCCGCGTGCGTCATATCTGATAAAGGTCTCCTATTTTCGTGGGGCTATCTGAATCGGCGCGCTTCGCAATACATCTCTGAATCTTATCGCTCTGTTATCAAGGCGAGGCCCAGGCGACTGCTTATCTTCGCCGCCCGAACTCTTGGCAAGGGAACTATTTAAACATTTGCTCATGCCATGTAACAATAACAGCTAGTCGCCAACATTCATACCAGCGGGTGTGGGATACACCTCTGTTAATTACCGTCCTGTAAAAGTGTTTATTGTCAAATCGGGCGGATTTATCTGGGTTTATTATTACTGATATAAAGAGGTTATACATTTTCGGATCATAGCGTGTGAGTGAGTGAGTGACTGGGTAAGTTGGGATTAACGCCTCTTTGAAATGTATATCAGGTTTCAGAGTGTCAGGTTAAACGTTGATACGGATGGAAGCCCGTGGTGATGCGGGTCTTTGACATTTCAACTTTCGTGAAACCTACTAGCACGGGTATGGTGCCAACAAATTCGAAAATATTATCAGGGCGGACCGGGATTCGAACCCACGACCATGGGCTCTTGCAACACCCAAGGGGCGCAACTCTGCACATCGGATTGCGGCTCCTCAGACGAATAGGCCACACGAGTCCAGCTTCGGATCACAAGAGATTCTTAAACAACGCGACGGCCTGAAATGTTAACCAATTAAGACTTTCCCTTCTATATGACTTTCAATTATCGATTGGTATATCTACTCTTTAACACGGGATGGAAGTGACTTGTCATTTGAGATATGAGTATAAAAGATGACAACGACTTGTGAAGACGCATTCATGATCAGAACAGGCAACGTACTGTCACGTGGTTGGCGGAGAAGCCCGAAGATAACCTTTCTGTAGTCATTGGGCACTGTTGAGCCGTCAAAAGTATAGTTGACTGAATGAGATAAGCATCACTACGCCCTCGTCCGGAACTTCTTGCCTTATCTCTACACCTTGTAGACGCGCTTCCGCGGATCGATATAGGTCTGTTAAGAATGTCAGAAAACTGTAGATATAATACAATCTTTTCACATTCCCGTGTTGGGATAATATTTAAATTTATTTATTGAATTAATAAACTCATATTGAATTAAATACCTGAAATGGGTTCTTAAAAGGAATTCATCTTATTCTGGAATGTGTTCCTGCGTACACAGGATAGACATCTACAGTCTTGTGTGTTGCTGTCATTATGTATTATGATAATCGGAATAACATATAATCATTTCTGTATGAAATGGGTCTGGCACATCCTTGCTTAATGCCCAAGACATACAGCGGAGTCTACTTCAATCATAAACGACTTACGATAACATCTTTACCCACGGAACATAACACCGAATAAGACACACACCTGTTTCGAAGATGCATACGGGCAATGCTTTACATGAATGAGACTGAAATATTTTATTTTATGCTACCCTTATCGATCGGCAAAACTGTTGGATCTAGGTTATCAGGCTTTTAATCGCTAAGGCCTCTACACTGTCAGTTCATGCTGATTGTATTTTTGTTGGACCATATCAGTTTCCATCTGTCTGCTTTTTATTAAAAAAGTCTTATCTCCGTTCGGCGAATGGCGGGCTCATATTTTTGATTGAAGATAGAAGCACGTCTCTTGTCGCGAACTTGCCTATCTCTCATCACAGCTGCACAAATAACATAGGCGATTGTCGGCCCTCATCGTAGGATCAGATACGGTGTAACTCCCTTGGCCGACCTTTTGTTTTGCGAAAACAGGGTAACTCCGGCAGTGCAGTCCGCCATTTCTATGACACGGCCGTTGATAACACAAGATGAATGGCGCGATCGGCACACGATAAGATAACATCAGTAGATAAGCCTGATAAGGCCCGCATACATAATTTGAGTCATCCCGCTACCGAGTCGACCCAGCATACAGATTATATCTCGGATAAATCCGCCTCGATTTGGAGTCCACTTCGCTGTAGCGAACAATGCGAGTGATTTCAGCTAGTGTTTTACATTGCTTGAAACTCGACGGAACTTCGCATCAACACTGACCTCTGAGAGGTCACGGCGCAGTCGAATAGACCGCAAATACGGGGTCACAGCGCATTGACCTGCCGTGCATGGAACTTTCATATACAACTCGGGAACGGTTACATTGTGTACGATGTCCCGGCGAAAACAATCAAATCCAAAGCCTTTGAAATGTAAGTATTTGGTTTATCAGTCATTTGGATTAGCGTGATGTGTGTTTACCGGATTTCAAACAACTACAGTAAAGCAGTGGACTGCTGTGACGGTTGTTGTATTGCTGTGTTGTGGACTTGCCTGAATTGAGCTAGCAGACGACACATCTGTAACGGTAAAGCTATCACACCACTGAGAACGTGTAGCCCTATTGACATATATACATAGGGTTATTCAAACATTTGTGATTCAAACAAGTTGATACAACTATATATTTTTTTCAAACGATTTTGACGGTTGCTGAAATTAATATTCAACGTTTGTGCCTTGCCAAAATGTGTTTCGTTGTCAGGCAATGAATGATGTCTCTTGTTCCTGAAATTGAACAGTTTATTTTTTATTGGTTATGTTTACATTTGTTTGGTTTCCCTCGTGCCTTCATCGTTGTAAGATAACGAAACTATCGGAAACCAAATTGGTTGGATTTGTTGTCATTCAGTCATTTACTATTGTTTGACGTATGTACACAACATCCAGGATTTATCTTCGTGTGGGTGTACCAAATATATGTATGGTTTTGATGTCACATTTTCAATATGGTTCAGTTGTACTAGCAAGTGGTTGAAAACATTTACAAATTAAGAGTAAGGTTACAAATTAACTGGTAAAATATCAACAACAAATTAAGTCACACACGGTCAAAGCTTCATCATGCTTGCAGATTTACTTTTGACGTCTGCCGCTTCCTCTCCCACGCCGAAAAGGGTGTCAAGCTTGTGACATTCTGAATGTAAGATCACGACTCGCATGAGTCGTAAATATCACACAGCTTACAGGCTTGTTCATTTAACTCAAGCTGTCGACATTTTTGCACAATATCCAAGCGATCGAGCGATTACGCAATGACTACCACATAATCCCACCAATCCCTTTTTAGATGTTAGAACTATCATGCTTTATCTTTTAATGGCTGGTCTTTGTGTATCGTTGAAGCGATAATGCTAAACGGAGCATGATATTCGTAAACAAATTAATACCTCAATTACGACGGGTTAACTTATGCCACTTTATATGCATCACACAGTTCATCTAGACTATATACAGTTTAGACGAACCACGACTGATTTTATTCAAAACGTTTTCTGTGAATAGCCACACGGAAAGTACGAAATATCCCCCACCCATCCTACATCGTCGCTTGATAGCTACTTAGCTGTCGTTAAACATAGCTATGGACGTATAACACATAGACGGGGACGAGTCCTTTGTATCACACAACCCAGTGGTGACATGGGACGATTGTCCCTTATCTCCCACCATCGTGGGGGCTCACTTATACACATCGTCTCACATGTTGGCCTATCAGCCCGTGATTGAGGAATCCTTCGTGATTTCCCTGTATCTATGACCAAGGGGTTTGATGACAGAATTCGCAGTCACACGCTTTATCACAAAACAAACAACCCTAACCCAGGCCGACATTGATATTCCCATACACCACTTAGTAAAAGTGACCGGCAGTAACCCTCGTCTGTGTATGGCCCCTCAAAACACGCATGTATCTCCAGCTAGCTCCAGCTAGCACTCGGTGTGAAGCAGACAAGACATCGAGCGTTGTGTGAGTGTTGTAAATCAATTTAACCTGATACTCTAACTAACGACACATCGAAAAACACGTACCCGGAAAAGAATAGCATTTTTTGACCATACACCTGGTTTCGACAAACACTCAAAACAAATGTGATTTCATAGTAATGCGATTTTAAGCTAAACTACATACACTAATAGCCTTGTACAGTTTCATATATGTAGTCATTTCTAAAATCACTTGTGCCTACATCACAAAATATATTCGGTCGTGATTGGTCGTTTAGTTGATATTTTTTACTTCCGTTTAATATGTCGGGTAGTTCGTTGTGTTTCAGTGAGAGACGCCCCAAAGTATTCTCGAAGTTGAATGTGTTGTCGAGTAAATATAACTTCCTAAAAAGAGTGACATATCACATTGCTGTAGACAATGAGTGGCAGACTGGATATGTTTTATGTTTCATAAACAGATAAGATAATGTTCTGGCATTGCAATTGAAAATTGTTCTACTTTTTGACCAATTAATTTGTAAATGTTTTATACATATATTGATATCGACGTCTTAAGTTGTTCAGTGGGGTTTCTGTAATAACTACACAGGTTTGTTTTTCCACAAACATTTAAAAATGAATTGAATTGAAAAATGGGAATAAGAAAGTATTAGCAAGGACACATTCACATGATAAATGTGCCTGCATTTTGATTTTTTTACATACATATGTAGCAGGCAACTCAATATAACCCTGTGGATATGAGTACTTTATATACAATGGCATACATTCGCTGAGGAATCCTGTAGTCGATGTCCATGGGGTACTTAAGTACTTATACAATGGTAGATATTCGATGAGGAATCAAATAGTCGGTGTTCATGGGATGCAGTATAACTGTGCGGATATAAGTACTTATATAGTGGTAGATATTCGATGAGGAATCCTTTGTCTTTGTTCATATGATGCAGTATAACTGTATGGATATTAGTACTTATGCAATGGTAGATATTCAATGAGGAATAATGTAGTCAGTGTTCATGGGATGCAGTATAACTGTGCGGATATAAGTACTTATATAATGGTAGATATTCGATGAGGAATCCTTTGTCTTTGTTCATATGATGCAGTATAACTATATGGATATTAGTACTTATGCAATGGTAGATATTCAATGAGGAATCCATGTAGTCAGTGTTCATGGGATGCAGTATAACTGTGTTGATATAAGTACTTATACAATGGAAGATATTCGATGAGGAATGAAATAGTCGGTGTCAATGGGATGCAGTATAACAGTGTAGATATAAGTACTTATATAATGGTAGATATTCAATGAGGAATCCATGTAGTCGGTGTCAATGGGATGCAGTATAACTGTGTGGATATAAATACCCTTACAATCCTAGACAGACATCCGTGGGATGCACTGATGTCGATTCTTATAGTTTATCATTTACAGTTTTTCACCATGATTATATTTGAAACATCTGGCAATAATTGTATATTGGTACTTGGCTATTGAGGGGGTGTCGATGGTATTCAGGACAACGTTTGTCTGAACATTTAAATCTAAAAGCCTCATTACCATGTAGCCATGACATGACAAGTATAAAACAACACAATTGCCATTACTTATTATATGCTAATGCCCACTGTTAATCCTCATTACGATTGTATTGTATATTTATTTGTATTGTCTCTTCTCATTAATTACTGTTGTTTGTATTTATGACTCAATTAACTGACCATGGCTATATACGCTTTGGTCCAGAGACGAAAAAGAGGCGTCACCCTTAGCCTTGCTAGGGTTAAGCTGTGTGCCCCTGGGCACCAACACCACTGTCACTGCTGACCTGGCATACGGTGCTTATTGTGTATATCACCTTGCATAAGGTAAACGTGTAAACATATGTCGCAAACCATCTAGTCGATGCTGTCACTTCATACCGATTGAGTGAGTTATTAACTATTGCTCAACGACACATCAGCAGTCTTGTAACTATTCGCGGCGAGAAAATGTCTTATCTGACCATATGTTTGTTTGTTGTTTAACGCCACACTCAGCAATATTCCAGCTATATGACGGCGGTCTGTAAATAATCGAGTCTGGACCAGACAATCCGGTGATAGACATCAGGAGCATCGATCTACGCGATTGGGATACGATGACGTGCATCAACCAAATCAGCGAGCCTGACCACCGGGTCCTATTGGTCGCCTCTTACGACAATGATACATGATAAAAGTGATGTCGACTGAGAACCGTACATGTCTCTTCCCCCCCCCCCCCCCCCCTGCATATAGGAATATGCGACTAATCATAATCACGGCCACAAGCGTTTCTAACGCACACGCCAACGCGTTGATGCTTGGATGCACAGGTGTCATATTGACGTCATCGTTGACGGTGATATGATGATGCAGGGCGGACGTACTGGTGTCCAAAATACGTCAAGGATGTGTTATTGTGTCACATCAAGTAACAGGATCTCTGGTTTGGAACAGATGCGCGGATATGCGATTTGCTTTTTTGATGAGCGCGCTAACGTGCTATACACTGCTGTCGGAAGGACATCACGAGGTGGCGCAGCGTTTCCACGTAATTCGCAGGTAGATGAAATATCGAGGTGTCGAGGTATATGCAGATGACGCTAGCGTCGACAAGAGAGTCGGGTTTCGATAGGAACACAAGTGTCGAAGATTGGTTTGCTGTATCTGCTCTGGTATCGATGATACAACATGGATGTCGAGGCAAATACCAATATCGATCAGAATGGCGCTTGACAATTAGTCTAAGAGTCCCGCCTTAATAGTTTTTGTTTATATGTGTAGTTGGTATCTCAAAATATACCAAAGTGACAGTCGCCAATGTTTTCCCAAAGTGAATAACAAGTAGATGTGAATGACAGTCGTATTAAATTTATTAAGTATCCATTTAAACTTACAAGTCGAAGGCGGATGTGTTACATCTAGTTGACTATACATTTCTCTACGCCCGATAGCGCCAAGAGGCATCCAAGTTGACAGAATGGCCACGAGGGAGACACGAGTCGCCATTCGACTTGTGCCGGAATGACACGAGTGGTCACGAATGTGGTGCCGAGTCTGTCATAATGACATATGTTTCTGTGTTGAAGGATGCATAGGTGCATTTTGCAAGGGGTTTCCAGTTCATACTGTACGAATGAGACTTGTATATCTTCCAATTCGTGTACACTTCAATCGATATAGCTGTTCGTCAAAAGAAAACAAAATATCGTTTTTGATATAGTTCATGTAGAATTACTACTTAGGCGTCAAGTAGTTATATGGAAACTATTTTAGGGACCCTATGTAACCCCTCTTTGCATTAATTGCATCTTAGGTGATTTATCTTTGTTAACTCTGAGACACGTCCTGCTGCGTGGAACACCCCGCTAGCATAATAAATAGCCCTAAG